GCTGACTGGACTCCTACTTGGACTCTTTTTCTTGATCCAAGAGAGCCGATCTGATTCCCAGCTTCTGAAGTTCCTCTACCAGATCTCCACTCTGATGCATCTGAAGAAGAATATCGCAGCCACCAACAAACTCACCGTTGAAGAACACCTGTGGAATCGTCGGCCAGTTGGAGAAACTCTTTACTCCTTTCAGGGGAAACAAAGTCACAAGTCAGCATTTAACAATTTCTACATGCTTAACTCTTACACTAATCTCTGGAATTCATTTTATGTAACATAACTATTCGCTTCTCTTTTTAATTCCACTTAAGCACCTCAGAGTCTAGGCTTTACGGTTTTAAACTGACCTCAGTCATGTAAGGTTCACACTAGTGCGGTGTTCGATACATCGATACGACGATGTATCGTCACAGAGATTTGACGATACAAGTATCGATACAGCTGGTCCTGTATCGATATTGTGGCACGTGTGCAGCAGTGGACCGCGCTTAATTTGAATACAAGAACACCGTTTAAAATAAGAGTAGAAAAGTGCGAGGTTTCTAAAGGTTTAATCTGGCCGCAGAGGAACACAACTGGGTTGCCTAATACAAAGAGACGTAATCCCCGAAGCAGAGCTTCTCACTTGCGCAATATGGAAATATCTGCCAAGTGTGCTACTTATCTTTGTCAACCTGGCAACCATGTGCCACTGTGGATAAATAATAAACAGCTGTTTTTCTAAATTCTGCTGAGGTGAAATTTAGTGCACTCCCGTATCGTGGCCTCTGTATCGTGATATGTATCGTATCGTGACTTTGCTGGTGATACACAGCCCTAGTTAACACCCCTTCCTTCCTGCTGCACAGGGCTGATAAAGGCAATCAGAGCCGACAGGACTGCTGGTGCCGTTAACCTACTTGTGCTGTACTGACCACACTAACAAGTTTCAGACCCAAATGGACTTTCATTGTATGTATAAAAACTGCGGAAGCCCACTTTTAGTCACAGTCGAGTAAAAATTCTGTAAATCAGAAACTTAAAATATCAGAAACTAAAGTGAAACTTTCTAAAAAAATAAATAAATAATGATTCAACATCTCATAATAATTGAGAACATTTTTAGTAATAAGGAAAAAAATTCTCAAAATATTATTATAAGACATTATAATGAGGAGGTTTATTTTTATGAGAAGCCAATGCATTGTTACATGGACGTTTCTCATTATTGAAATGTTTAGTCACTATTACGAGATATTAATGAGAAATTAAGTTATTATTATAAGGTTTCTAGACAGTTTCTAAGTATTATGAGATGGTTTCTCATAATGACTTGACATCTATTATTTTGAGATAATCTATTGTTATGAGTCACCGTTACGAGATGTTAATTAGATTATTATCATTTTTCATTATTATGAGAGTTTCTCATTGTTACAAGACAATGATTTGACATCTTATGAAGAATTTTTATGAGAAACCAAGGCATTATTAAATTTAAATTAATAACGTTTCTCATTATTATTGAGATGTTTAGTCATTATTACGATATATTAATTATTATCAGTTGATAATTATTATAAGAAAGTTTCTCATTACAATATTTTTTTCCCCAATTGATAATAATGATATTATTTATCGTAATATTATTAATGTTAATATTATCTTCTTATAGTAATAACAATTTCTAGGAACTTTATCATAACAGCAACTTAGTTTCTCATTAATATCTCATAATAGTAACTAAACATTTCATATAAAATGAAATGGAAAATCATTATAACAAGAAATATATGAAACATTTCATAATAATGAGTAACTGTGATCAGAATGACTGAGTTTTTGATTATTGTGACATGTTAAGTAAATATTACGAGAAAACGTCTCAATAATGAGATACTTTCTTGGAATAGCTTAACACCTCACGAGAAACTAAGTCATTATTATGAGAACGTTTTAAAAGTCATAACTGTTCGAGTTCTTTCTAAATTTCAAGACATAGTGAGAAATGTGAGAACGTTTATAATTCTTATGAGATACTAAGCAATAATTACGAGTTTCTTAATGATTAATAATTAAGAGCTTTTTTTTTTTTTGCCTTTTTGCCCGCAAAATGTGTTACTAACACACGTTAAAAACAGATACAAATGTCATCCAAGCCAATATCAAACTCGAGTTAGGTTTAAACTCCAAAAGCTCTTCACACCACAATCACCATCTGACCTTCCCTGATATCCTGATCATCCAGCACGTTATAAGCAGCATAGCTGTCGACCCCGTGCATTCTGAGGATCTGGACGACGGCGTTGCTGAAGCCGCACATAGGCTGTGCGGGGGTGCCTTTCATGAAGACCACCACTTTGTCCTTCTTCACCATCTCCTCCAGAGTCTTCTGGCCCGCTGAGGAGGAGTACATGAGGCGGGCCCAACCAGACAGCAGCTCTCCATTATTCTGCGCTGTTCTGTACTGCCACGCGCCCGATCGAAGACACCGAGCTGTCGATCTAATAATGCTGTTCATCGTACAAGTCTGAAGGGTTTGCTAAAGATTTAAAGAGGCTTAAATACGTTTGACACTTCACCAAACACACGCCACAGAGCCTCGCCGAAGTAACTCACTGGACTCAAGCTCCGCCCCCTCGAATATAAACACTCAAAGGATGAAAGCTATTGGGTCTCGGATTTGTCTTCTCCTCTCTGATTGGTCGAATACTGCGTCAGTCATGAATGTTACACAATTGCTTTTTATCTTGATCTCTGACAGCTTTTATTTTAGCAGTGTAAAGTATTTTATTAAATGTATCTACGGTTACATGTACCGCCACTGTAATTAAAAAACGTCTGTTTCTTTTTCTTGTAAGAAGTACTTAGTGGAGGCGTTTACATCCGGTTACAATGCGCTCTTTCTCTTCCGGCACGTACTCATTTCCGCGAATCGGTTCTTTCAAACATTTCCTTTTAAAGATCCGGTTCAAATAAACGACTTAGCGATTTATGTCATTTCAGTTTATTATGTTTCATTGATTCAGCTCATAAAAAAATAGTCACTTAAAACCAATATAATAAGCATTTTAGGAATCGTAAAAATAGCTAGAACGGATTCAGTCCAACTCGTAAACGAATCGTTTAGACCGTTTTAGTGAAACGGTTCGACCGAATCAGTGTTCTGATTCTGAATGATTCGTTCACGAAGCTCTATTTAAGTGAATGCTGCTGTAGTTCGTTGTTTGGATTGGTGAAATCCACGTTTATTTTCTTACAGTGTATAAACGGTTTGTAAGAGGTAAGATACGTTTGTACACGTCTATGCTTAATAGCAGTGCAGTGTCGAGATCCTGTCTCCTGTGTCTGGAGTGGCTGGAGACTCAACGAGGCTGCACAGATCAAACAGAAGGAGCAAAAGGCGTGACTTCTCTAGATTCTGAAGCTTTACGTGCGATATTCTTTCAACAAATCTCGTCCTGTTTCCACGGCGGTGATGGTTCGTTGTGTACCGTTACCAATCCAAAAACAGGCAGAGTAAAGTAGCGGCATTCAGATATTGTCTGTCAGGAGAAGCGCGCCTTTCAGACACTTTGAGTTGCCACAATTAAACGTCGTGTTGTACATTGAGAAAAGACGGGGGCAAAATCCTGCGTTGATCAATTCGGACTAACATTTGTGTTGTTGTTTTTTCTCCATATATCTGTAGGTTTGTCCAGATTCAATTGGAAGTCTTAATCCTCCGTTGATCACCATGAGCTCAATAATGTTTATTTTTAATAGACCCCATATATTTGCCTTTTCTTTAACCCGTTCCCCCCCCAATAAAATATTTATGCAAGGCTTTTTGTAGTTTTGCGTCATGTTTGCGTCAACTGTAAATTAATCATTCAGAGGTATTATATTTAGCCAATGCACATTTAATTGGCACGCAAAATAGTTTGTTACTTGAGTAAAACCATTATTGTCTTCATTGTGGTTTATTAGGAAGGCTGCATTCAGCAAAATAAGCCACTTCGTACAACCTGTGCTGCAGGGCCTACAACAAGCTCAACCAGATGATTTAGAACAAACTAAATAGTTTTATGAACCATTTTTACTGTGAAGCAACTGCTTGAGGGTGGCTTATGTAGTTCTCCTCAAGTTCACACAGGTGTTGTTCATCACTCGGACTACCTTAACTAACATTTGGCATTCAGAAAGTGTCATGTCTTAGCTTAATAGTTAAACTAGTTCTAGTGTTTATTAGGGTTTCTGTGCGTCTTAAAAAGTCTTAATTTGCCGTTTCACAAATGAAGGCCACAAAATGGTTCTTAAATTGGAGCAGAAAGTTTTCAATTCATAAAACCAGGGCTTTAAATATTGCATGCACTGTAAACAATTATCTTCCTGAGTGTTATTGTCTTGTTTTCCAATGTAAAAACCTACACTTAAAATCAACATGTCTTGATTTAAGAATTTTTAGACATTTGTACTTTAAAACAATCCAAAACGCTGAGTAAGAACATCACTTTTTATGTTTTGTGATCATAAGGTAGCCTATGTAAAAGTTTCCATATTGTAGTGTTGTTTTTTTTTTTTTTAGGAAATATATTAACAAGTAATGGCGATTTAAGTGTCTAATGCAACAATTTTGAGAGCGTTTAACTTGTTAAATTCTCTTCACAGTATTTAATTTACCTTCATAAAACCTGCAGGAACCCTTATGTAAAACCTGACATTTTTAAATGTATTAATACATTGGCTCACAGTATATAATGCAATTTATAATGCAACGAAAACCACAGAGTCACAGACTTTCAGCAGTACACCATTACAGAGTTAAAACTATCCTTTGATGATGAGGATTAAGATTTGCTTTTGCAAAAAAAGAAACTTGAACAGTCGTAGTTATGCTATGAACAAACCATCATTCAAGTATCCACTTGTTTTATTTGTTAAAAGTGAATGGATAAAATGTCAACACAAAAGCTAAACTATGTCTTACGCATGAATACTAAATATTAGCTTAAGGCAGTGAAGGGTTTGGAGGAGCTGTCTCAGGTTACTGCAGGTGTATGGAGGAGGCGGGCGTGTGCTGGCAGGAGCTGACACTCAAAAACACTTCTCAAACCCATGACTTCCTCAAATCTTCCTCTTTAGCTATGCGTGGAGTGTATTAGTGACTTTTAGAAATTGTCTTGGTCCTGGTTCAGGATGTCCTCAACACTGAGTGTGAGAGATGAACATGTCGGTAAAGACAAGAAGTGCGCACAAAAAACCCAAGGTAGGAGAATCCATGTATGTGCATAATTTACATGTACAGTTCCTATAATGTATTTTTTATACACTGACAATTCTGGGTGGATATTTTCTTTGAGGATAAACAATATTCAGCACGTTTTAATCTCCAAGTTTGCTAAATTATATCATACAATGTATTGTTTGCAGTTCTGGCACAGTTATACTATTATATATCTTTCATCATTATTGTATACATTATATTTGAAACAAATTGCAATGGAAATGTAAAGTGTAAATGTAAAGAAAACATCATTTGCAATGTAAACTTTTTTTTTTAAAGACAAACTTCCTCGTTTATTTTACTCAGTGCATGTCTCTTAAAATGAAAGTGAACCTGCTTATACCTGTTCTCACCTGTGCTAAACCTGTTAAAATCTTCTGAAATGACAGCATGTCACTTACAGCACTTTAAACGTTAACTCCATGTGTCCATGGTCCCTCATTTCTTTATCTACAGATGAGAAGCAGGCAGTCCAAGAGAGAACTTTTACCAAGTGGATAAACATGCATTTGAAGAGAGTGAGAATTGTCTTCTTTCTACCGCAAAGCTAAACAATGTATTCAGCTTTTAAAAGACAACACAAGACCAAGACAATATCATTCTCAAAATGTTACTTTTTTTTTTTTTTTTTTTTTTACACGACATTTACCATATTACTACAACAAAAGTATTGAAAAAAAAAGTACAATGTTGTTGTTGTTTTCTCTCTGTGTTGCAGTGTGACCCACCTTTACAGGTTCATAACTTATTCACTGATATTCAGGATGGAAAGATTCTCATGGCTCTTCTAGAGGAACTGTCAGGCTGTAATATGGTTTGTCATCACATATTATACAGAAAAAGATAAAGTTTGATCACTATAAATCTATCATTCATAGATGAGGCTTTTCTAGAAGTGTTTTTCATGTTCTTCAGCTTGATAAATTCAGGCCATTTCCACATCGCATCTTCAGACTAAACAATATTTCTAAGGTCTTGGATTTCCTCGAGGACAGAAATGTAAGTCCTGATGTTTATTTTTTTATGTGCTATTTATTTATTTATTGATTTAATTGTTAATTTATTGTCCATAAGTTATTTAATAATAATAAAAAAAAATCTTATGAATTACCTTCCTCATTTTAGGTAAATTTAATTCAAACCAGGAAACAAATCAATACAACTTAACAACGATTTAACTAAATCTTGGATTTCCTCGAGGACAGAAATGTAAGTCCTGATGTTTATTTATTTATTTTTTATGTGCTATTTATTTATTTATTTATTTAATTATTCATTTATTGTCCATAAGTTATTTAATAATAATAAAAAAAAATCTTATGAATTACCTTCCTCATTTTAGGTAAATTTAATTCAAACCAGGAAACAAATCAATACAACTTAACAACGATTTAACTAAAATAAGGGATTTAATTAGTAAAACATGGTCAACATCTATGTTTACTGATGTCATGTGGAGGGCTCCATATCTTTGTGTGATATAAATATAAATTTAATCATTTATGTTATTTTTACACAGGTTAGCCTTATAAACATTGACGCTAATGATATTGCCGATGGCAATCCTTCAGTTGTTCTCAGGCTAATCTGGAACATCATTGTGTACTATCAGGTAAAGCACACTATCATTGCGTAATGGCAATGAAAGGGATCCACTGTTCTTGGGTGGGTGTTTGATCATGTGAGTTATTGTGATTCTAAATAATTTTCCCATTCTAAGATTAAACAGGTCACAGGAAGCCTGGAGAAGTTCCCATCCACCTTCAGTCTGCTGTCATTACCTTGTGGCAGTGATTCTTCAGGCCGTAGTTCTCCAGCATCACCTGGGGATGACAGTTTTGGCACTCTACCCTCAAAAGGCAAAAGGTCATCTCGAAATCTCAAATACCGCGGTACAGCCATAAAGACTCTGCTTAGCTGGGCACAGAACTGTACTGCAAAGTAAGTGAATTAATTTACTGAGTCACAATAAAGGCTTGAAATGTGTTTCTCAATGCAAAACATCAAATTGTTCATTTGAAAAATGTTTTTTTTTCAGACAAAATTAATATTTGACATATACTCACCCTAATAAACTCGCCGTAACTTAAATCTTTTTTGTGTCTGTGGAACACAAAAGGAGACAGTTTGATGAATGTCCCGATCACTCTTTTCCACAAAATTTCAATGGAGACTGTAGCTTTCAAACTTAAAAAATAAAATAAAAATAATAATAAAAAATGCAAAGCACAACAAAAGCATCATAAAAGTCGTCGATATGACTCTTTTTCATTATAATTTTAAAAAAGTTATGGAAAAGCGTTCCATTTTCACTTATAATCTCCTTCTCCAGCAAGCTGTAACTTATGATCATCATTAAGTTGAAATCAAGAACCAAATCAATATGAACAAATCATTCAGAGTGGTTTTGCGAACCAGCTCAAACGATTTTTTTTTTTTGTCTTAGCTGGATGTTGCGATATTCAGTAAATTTATATTTTTGGTCTGTAGCTACACAAAGCTATTAGAAGACCTTGCATGGACCACTTTCATGATACTTTTATGGTGTTTTTTTGATTATGTTTTGTCCCTATTAGATTTAATTTAATGGGAAAAAAAGAACGTCCACAGAAGAATGACAGTAATATAGGTTTGGAACAACATGCAATATAAAATTATTATAGAACTTTTATTTTTAGGGTAATCTATGAATTGGATGAACTTCCATAATTCATTCAGCCTCGCCATTTCAATCTTTCCCTTCAGATATGGGGTAGAAATTTGCGATTTTGGTAAAAGCTGGAGGAGTGGATTGGCATTTCTGGCTCTGGTTAAATTCTTCTGTCCTCAGTTTGTGGACATGAGGAAAGCTTTGTCTTCTGAGCCCCGACTAAATATGGAGACAGCCTTTACAGCAGCGAATGAGTGGCTGGGGATTCCTCCACTGCTGGATCCAGATGGTAACACACAAACAAACCATTAGCTTTTCTTTGAAGAATAGCTGTGTATTGTTTGTGCCTTCTAGGGGAGCGTACTAAATTGCTGTATGACCTGCTTTCACACTTTAGAAATAAACACGTAATGAAAACGCATAAGCAGGAATTTTACTGCAGAACTATTGTACTACCAGTCATGTTGCCTGAGAATTGTATAGCAAAGTGTTGAGTTGCTTTTTAGCTTTGTAACTGTTAGTGATAGCAAATATAAGCAGATTTTTTTTTTTTTGTGGGATTCATCTTCAAAGCAGACTGGAACCCTGCTGCAACATTAAGCAGTTGTGTTTGGTTATTCGACTTGGTTTGTTTTTTCTTTCCCACTAGATCTTGCAGTGCATTCACCAGATGAGCAGTCTGTCATCACTTATGTAGCCCAGTTTCTTGAATGTTGTCCAGGCCATGATGAGGTGAGGATATGTTTATCTTTTATTTGAATGATTGAGAAGAAGATTAAAGCACACTAAGTCTTTCTTATCTATAATGATAGCATTATTGTGACTACATATGTCAATAAGACTGAAGGTGTGTTCACATTAGTGAAATTTCAACAAAATTTCACAGGACAAAAAAAGTCTATTGTAAATAGTGTAACAATGTATAAAGCACCGCTCACACAGAAGTCATTTTAAACCAAGCAACTTTTAGCTGGGCAATGCAGCAAAATTGTGTGACCTGTGGTGAAATCTGTGTGGGGAGATATGTAATCATGTGTGGATTTGTATTGAAATGACTGGATTTCGCCCGTGAAAATTCAAAGGTGTGGTCAAGTTATCTATAGTTTGGCATACTTAATAAAAAAAGTTATTTCAAAAGGAATCCATGCAAATGAATTTTGCGAGAGGGCGACAGATTTGCCCACACAGATTCGACTCCAGTTTCGAGTTGGCCTCCTAAATTCATTGTATCTACAAACACAAAAGTAAGCATTTTCAACACATGAATATGCTTAGAAACATAGTTTTTCTCATAAAAGTGACATAATATCCACAATGTGGCTTTATCTCTCATAATGTAACTTTACATTCAACTTTTTTTTGCCATTAAGTAAAAAAAAAAAAAGTTAATTATGAGGTAAAGTTTAAAGAAAAATTGCATTATGAGAGATAAGACCACACAGTGGATATTATGTCACATTTATGAAAAATGAACTGCAGTTGCACCATATGAAGCCACTTTGTAAGATATGAAGTTACAAACGGGACTCTTATAAATGTCACATTTAAGAGATATATTCACATTAGCAACATATAAAACCACAGTTGTGAGATATAAGTGAATCAAGTCAAGCAATTGTGACAAAGTTGAAATTGCCTTTTTATTTATTTATATATTTATTCATTTTTGGGTGGAAACAGACTACTATAGACTATAGACATACTAAAATAGCCTAATGTATCACAATAGAACAAAGACATTTTAAAATCGTCATGTCTAATGAATGAATGAATGAATGGTCTGTCTAAGTAATATATTGTTAATCCCATGACACTGACTCATTCACAGGACAGTGCATCAACAGATTCCTCTCGAGGCACACCAAATTTCATTGAAAGATCGGACAGACATTGGACTGATTCAGTTAGCTGCACGTTACCATCTAATATCTCTGCTGAAGCTTTGAGAGGGCTTCATAACTCTTCTGAGACCAGCCAAGAGGAACAAACCTACCATACTGGAGATCAAGAGCTCAGCTCAGAGTCACTGCCTGCCTGTCCTTCAGACAACCCTGTGGGTTTAGCTGCTCTGTCTGAACATTTCCTCACCATGAAGAGCTCCAGCTGGTCAAATGGACAATCCCTGCCAGACTCCACTGGGGGGCAGTGTTGTGACTCTTTAGCATGGAAGAAAGGCTATTTGGGAAGCCTGGATAATGATGGGAACTGTTCAGAGGTTTCAAAAGAGGCTGTTTATGCTATGCCAATGCTGGATTCAGATGAAGAGGATGCATATAGCTATATATTAGAGCTGGACCATAACGACGCTGGACTAGAGACAAATGTTGACCTTGAATTAAATACAATTATGGATGCACAGGGAATAGAGCTTGCCAGTACATTTGAATCTCAAGGAAGTGAAATAAACTCATTGTGTCATTTTTGTGAGACACAGAGGCAGTTTAAGCCCTCAGATGTATTGACTGGGTCAGGTGACGGCAAAAGTGCAGACATCCGTGACTCAAAAAAACTTTCACCTGCTTCTGACTCTTTGCTGATGAATCAATTTGGTAAAAATATACCAATATCATCTACCAGTGAACATTTGGACTTGGACTGTTCATTAAAAATGAAGGAGAGTATTAACTCAGATGCATTTAATCTGACTCACGGTGATGGTGTTGATGATGCATTTGTGCCACCAGTGAAAAATGGTCTAGATAAGGAAAAAATCAGAGAGGACCTTTTCCCCGGTGCAGTGAATGATGGTCTATCAGATAATGACCAATATGAGCAAAACAGTGTTTTGGATCAAAGAGTTTTGGATAGAATAACAGGAGAACCTGCAGTTTCACAGAGGTTTGGATTATATTCTACATACATTTTGTTGCATTGTTCAATTGAAAGTAGTTTTGAAACAAGCTACACTCTAAAAAGATGCTGGGTTAAATATGGGCAAACCCAGCGATTGGGTTGTTTTCAACCAACAGTTGGGTTAAATGTTTAATCCAACCTTCTGGGCAGTAACCCAACCGCTGGGTCAAAACAACCCAATCGCTGGGTTTGTCCATATTTTACCCCGCACTTGGTTGTATTTAACCCAGCATTTTTTAGAGTGTATGCTCATTGGAAATACATGCCTCTATTACATTTTTGCAAAGCCCCAAAAACGCACATACATTACACATTATAGATACATTTCACTGCAGTTTTCAGCTGACATGAACACAGATTTTCGATTAATAAAGACTTATTTTTGTGCTGCTCCTTACACAGTACTATGTTATGAACTCAAACATTTTTTATTATAGTGCATAATTTGTAAAGCAATACCTTTTAACATTTGCATCGCATTACCAATTCCATATTTATGGCTTTTGTGATATAGTAAACATGCTCTTCAGCTCACCCGGTACAACAATGCATTTGTGATGCGTAGCGCTCTGGTGTGAGTCCCGTAAAATGCAAGTCACTAAGAAAGAGTTCAAAGACTTGAAGATGCAAGCTAAAATGGCATTGCTGATTTAGCAAATATGTTTTTATCTCACCCCAAAAATGTCACCCCACAGGCATGTTTTATTTTATTTTTATTTTTTAAATGAACCTAGGATGTTTCGAAAAAAATAACCAGTATGTCTCATTCTGCCTTCTTCTTGTGTGTTTTAGGAAGGGGGGTCTTGACCTAACTAGTTATGAGGTGCATGTGCTTCTGTTCCTCTGGATGATCGCCTACTGCATCCTTATGTATCCTCACCTGGATATTCTCAGTCTATTCAACCCAAAATAGCAGTACACAAGAAATATAATTACAAGGTTATACTATACTCTGGGTCCACACACACAAACTCTCACGTTATCTCCTTCTCAGACCTTATCAGACATTTAAAAAAAAAATAAAATAAAATCCTATTGACTTTGGGCTGCTAACTCGTTTCTGGGTTTTAGGACTCATTTCTGCAGCACTCAATAAATATTCCCTTTTTTGTTGCTTTACCTTTAATATATCTATGTAGCCTGCATAACTGTCCTCGCATGTGACATGAGAAACAAGGTTCAGTCTACAGTAGTTGATGTTGCCTCATCTTTCAATAACAGCCTGCAAATCTTGCTTTACATAGTAAAAGTTTCACAAAACAATCTGTAGTAAAATATGCACACACAGAGTCTGTTCCAAAATCAATGAGCTACCCAACTGACTAAATAGGCAACTGCCTTCTAAGATAGTAATATCCTAAAATATGGAATCTTATAACTGACAGATTTAACACTCTATATAAGCAGCAACTATGCACAACACAAAGTGATTTCAACAGAGTTAGCATGTTGCTAAGCTAAATACAAAACATGCACATTTCTTCTAATACTCATAAAAATGCATGGCACACACATAAATTGAGTAAAACATGTTTTGATTTTATTATTATTTAGATTTGTTTTCATCAATGGTTTTTGGTACTGAATGAATTATATTAACAATCAACATTTCGCTTTGTTCTCCATCCAGAATTTTTAACTCAGTTATAGATGGTTATTTTGGCACGTACTGATAGTTATTTTGGTTTCAAGCAACGAAACGTTAGCTCTATTGTACACTGTATACTTTTATCAAACTGTTTTATTATTTCGATATTATTTTTGTTAATATAAAATTTGATATCCCCCTTTATGTTTATTTTTTTTAAGTGAAAATTGACTTTTCATTATATGACAACTTTTTTAAAGACATAAATTTGCCTGAATCTATGCACTGATACTGTTTTATTTTGACACTCTTTTTTTAACCACAAAGTCAGTTAATGGAATGGCATTTTGTTTAATTCCATTCTGTCATTCAACTGTTGAATAATATATTATTAAAGCTTAATATTATGGATAATTAATATTACTTTCTTCAGAACATTAGTTTAACTTACAGGAGACATATTATGCCCCTTTTTACAATATGTGATATAAGTCTCTGGTGTCCCCAGAATGTATATGTGAAGTTTCAGCTCAAAATACCCCACAGATCATTTATTATATCATTTTGAAAATGCCTATTTTGAGTGGAAGCAGAAACACACTGTTTTTCGTGCCTGTCTCTTTAAATGCAAATTAGCTGCTGCTACCCGCCCCCTTTTCCAGAATAGAGCTGCGCCATTACAGCTCATACCTGCTAAAAAAACCCCATCTGTTTTGGTTCTGATTATCATGTTTATCGTGCTGAAATCATGCGTTTTGACCCATATTAGTTTAAACTTCTGATATAGGTTTTCTGAGTGCACACATCCAAAGCACACGGACAGAAAGCGGCTGTCACAGCATGTGAGTACTAAACTAAGTTCTCATTCACACACACATTTACGTTAAAAACACACGAGTTACAAAAACAGCCGGTTATGTCTGTGAAGGTTTCACCATGGCATTAGAACTGGTACACCGTTGTCACTTGCGGAATCAAAATGACGGCACCGTGGGTGTAAACTTACAGATTAAGGGGCGGTAATATTATAATGAGATCCCTTTGCAACGTCACTAGGGGAGTGATATCAGACTCGCTCGTTTTTTTCAGATGCTTGCAGAAAAGGGCTTACCAAAGCAAAGTGACTGGGTTAATCTTTTTCACATTTCCTTGGTTGGTAGATGCACCGGGGGCCTGATTATATCATTTAAAACCTGGAAAAGTCAGATTTTCACTATATGTCACCTTTAACAATTTATCAGATGTAAAAGCATCACAATTTATAACAAATGCTTACATGCAGCAATAATGGGCCTTTTAGTTCGTAGCTGCAATCAAACAGTGTGTGTGGATCTGGGGGAGATAAACCAGGCCAAACTGTTCAAATATGTACGACTAAGCGTGGGCTGGGTGAGATTTGTGCCCTCACTACAGCAAGCCAACAGCTTCTGAGAATGTGTTTGTTTGCCGTCAAGGTCAGGGCCACTAATCAATGTCAGTATCTTTCAACATTTCCCTTGGAAAACGATCCAAAGAGGAGTTTGGACAGTTGTGTACCCCTAGCTGTGGTTTTTGTGCAGCATTGTGCTATCAAACGATTTTGTATAGTATTATTTTGCTAGCAGCAAAGCTGCTAATCCTCATTCCTCCAGGAGAAATGGAAAAACCCGAGAGACGGCAGGCACTAAATGGTATGGAAGCTACTATGGAAACCCTAGTGCTCTACGATAACCTTGTCTTTGGTTTGTTTGCTGCTTATAGCAGGGAGAAGCAGAGGAAAAATCTTCTTAACTGCTCGGTTTGACTCTCCTTAGTGAAGATAGTGAGGATCTCACAAGACCTGCTCTCACAATACTTGATAGATGAGCTGCTTAATTTCACAGAGGCCTCTGTGGAACATATGCCTTCCTGATCAGCCATAACCTACAGAAGACCCTTACAGAACAACCCTTGCATGTTATTATCCTAAGTATGATGCCTATTGCAAGTCAAACTTTTTTTTTTGTTTCCTGTATGTTTTGTGACACTTTCAAAGTGAAATGTCCAGTGAGTGGCACTAAAAGCACCTTCAGTTTTATAAAAAAAAAAAAAAAAAGTTTCTTATGGTGGTTGTTGTATGTATCGTGGCAGTTTTGAAATATCATCTACACTAAACCCAACCCTATACCTTACAGATAGTGTTGAAACGTGAGATAAAAACACATCTGATGAAGCAAACATGCCACTTTCGCTTGCTCTTGCAAGCTCTTTTATTGAGGCCAATGTTTCACAGGACTCAAACCCAAGTGCTTCATATCTCAAGTGCAATGCTGAACCAGGTGAGCTACCAAGCAAGTTTACTAAGAAAAGTCATACATATGGAGCAGATTATGTGATGCAAAAGTCACAATGTATTAGTTTACAAATCATGCATTATGATAAAAGTGTTTTAGGTCATACCTTGTTATTGTGCAAGGAATACAAGTTGTTGTAATTTTACTGTCTCTAGTGTTCATTTTAATTGGAAACGGCAGTGAATTTTATGTATAGGGATGTTTTTGGAATTTTACAAAAATGTAGGTAGATGCACATGTTTCTGGCCTACGTTGGTGTATTTTATTAAGTACAGTAATTCATTGCAGTTCAAATAAAAAATAGTTATTTTGAACATGAAATACAGGTGCATCTAAACCATTTTTTTGTACAAATATGTATAGGGATGTTTTTGGAATTTTACAAAAATGTAGGTAGATGTACATGTTTCTGGCCTACGTTGGTGTATTTTATTAAGTACAGTAATTCATTGCAGTTCAAATAAAAAATAGTCAGTTATTTTGAACATGAAATACAGGTGCATCTAAACCATTTTTTTGTACAAACTTTGAAAACATTTTTTTTTGCACATGAAAATACAGCCAAATAAAACCAAGTCACTGTCATGCTATTTGTAGGAAAACAGAATGAGTCATTCAAACAGTAGAAAGACAGTAAAATGATGCTTCGTATGGGTGAAGGGGTGGTTGTGGATGTGAGCTCCAATCAGGATGTTGTATGACACGACTATGATACTGTATGAGATTGATTTACACACACACTTGCCAGACTATTTCTGCTGGCATGGGGGATGTTGGAAGTGGCCAGTGAACTGACTCTCCATGGCTAAACCTGTGTACTTTGATCTGATCGCTGTATGCATGTGTAAGCATACAGTACAGTGGGGCCTAAAAGTCTAAAACCACATTGAAAATCTGTGATTCAACATTTGATTTAAACCTGGAAATAAATAGAAGATAATATAAGAAAGAATATAATTACTTCAGGACAAACACATTACTGAGAACATTGGACATACATATTGAGAACATATATGATCCAGGAAAATGTAATGCGAACATGATGAGACTAACATTGTCTTGTAAATTGTAGAGTATACAAAAAAAAGGACAGAATTAATGTAACATGGGGTTTGGGTTTTGTTTCTTGTTCATTGTTTTCATGTCTTTTATTTTGTCGTTTGGCCACAGTCATGTTCTCGGTCATGTGATTCCCTTGTCTGTGTGTTATGTTTCGATTGGTTCCTTGGTTCATGTGTCATGTTCTCATTGGTTGTCTTAGAATTGTTTGATATAAATAAGCCCTCATTTTGCCTTTGTTCTTTGTCTAGCTTTGAACTGTGTAACCTGCTGTTGGTGAGTTTGTGTCTCTGTTCAAGTCCGTTCATGCCAAATCAAATCAAGTCAAGTCAAGTCAAGTCTCTGTTTGTATTTTGGATTACTTTTGAATAAAAGCTGCACTTGGGTTCATCACAACTTTCCGTTTGGTGGACTGCTTGTTACAATTAAAATAGAATCTAAGAGATGTTCATATATAAATGGTCTGACACTACACAATTTACAACAAATTTAAATGTGATTGTGGGTAGAGTAAAATATCTAAATCAGTTCTCAAACATAGAAGTCAATACTTTATTATATATTGTATGTCATGCAGTGCATTCACAACATATTCAGTCAGACCACATCAATATGCATTCCACAACCCATAGTTTGCAGACTGCAATAAGCATACTCTATCACAGATGAAGTGAATTAAATGCAATATTTGTCAAATACACAGACGTTTCAGAAACGTTTTCATGAGCAACAGAAACACTTTTTATATACTGCTTAATACAGCGCCATCTGTTCAAGAATAAAGTTCAATGTAAATATATACTATTTAAATACTAATAAAGTGGGGGTATATATGGTTTCATGATAAACGTGACTCAATATAACATTGCGGCTACAGTAAAAAAGCTTTTACTGTTCTAAAAACACAGATTTGTGGCTATTATTGGAATTGAAAAGGTTAGAATAAACCCGAAACACACGTGATAGTTGTCATGCGGTGAATCTGGCCAATCGTGAAA